TTGGTATTGGCACCCCCGCCTTCCGCTTTATCTCATGGGGCAGTCTTTCCGATATAAGACAATTTGACTCCTGCAACGGCTGCCCCAGGTTGCTGAGCCCATCAGGGAAGAGCACACCTCTATTCATTCGAATTATGCCACATCTACCTACTAGTTCTACTTATTTCTTGAGAATCACCCATCAATAGTATGTAGTCTACATATTGCTATCGCGCGCTTTCAGTGTACTCATGGACGGTCGAGTACTTGAGTACACTATTAAGTCTGTCAACGATATGGATAAATTAGGTCAAATGTTTGTGAACGAATATGAACGCACAACGACGACAGGGGGCGACTTCTTTATACTGCTTTATACCATAGTTGCGTGGACAGGGAATCCGTTCCCCCACTGGCATAACTTCCCGTGGGCCATCAGTAACATGGGACAAGGTTCATTTGGAATCTCGTTTGATAAAACAGGGGAGATTATGTGCATCTCAGTGGAGATTCTGTGTATCCATTGTGTAATCCCATACGACGAAGAGTAAATGCGTTCTACTAGTTCTACCGTACGTGACGGTGTAACTAGCCTGGCTGGCCGCTGTAGTTCACAAAAAAAGAGTAAACTCGTTGTGAATAAAACGCGAATCCAGAGCAATTCTTGCTCACGTGGCACAACGTGAGTCACTGCGCGCGGACTGCTACATCAAATTTAGTCTTTCTTTCCTCTTCGTCCATCATGCTTCGGCGTTCTACAAGACTTCGGGACAAGAGAGATGCTTCAGGCGACACCCAAATGCATGAGATGAACGCTGCCTCAGACTCTATCGCTGCTAGTTCTAAACGTACACGAGACGATGATGATGACAATGACTCAGCTCCTGAAGCAGAAGATGGCGACGATGACAATTCGAAAAGGAAAAGGAAGAAATCGAAGAAAAGTGTCTCTGAACAGTCATTGCCATCGCCTAACTCAGGTGTACGACTTTCTGAATCGAGCAAGAACAAGAGGCAGCGCATGCCAAAGCAATTCAGGGGAGTTCGAGGAAAATTGGGGCTGTTAGAAAAATTGGCAAAGGATATGCCACTAGACGTGATTCTTGAGGTAGTGGCTGACCATTCCTTGTGAGGCTACCTCACTCATCTTCTTCAACACAGATCTTTTGTTACCTCGAGCCACGGGATCTGCTACGGCTGGCGCGCACAACCAAGGATCTGCGTGCTATCCTGATGAGCAAATCTTCGGTGAACATTTGGCGCACCGTTCTTGGAAACGTGGAAGGGCTACCTCCCTGTCCGACTGACCTCAACGAGCCTCAATTTGCAAACCTTCTTTTCGAACCCTATTGCCATGTAAGTCGTCAGACTCATGAAGTATTGGCTGAATCATAGGTACCTCGGACAGGTTTGCATGCGCTCCGCACATTGCGACAATATATTGTGGAACATTCGTGTGCGGTCGTGTCAGAAATGTTTGCAAGCGTACGTTATCTCTGTGACTTTGTCATTGCTTTGCCGTTTTCAACTCGTTCCAGCTTTCCTCAACCTAAGCACATCGACCACCCTCTAAGCAGATATGAATCTGTCATTCCAACGGAGTTAGTTGAGGTTGAACCAGGTCGGCTTGATCTTCTATGTGACCTTGTTGTCCGCTGAAATCGTGATTCGGGTTTCTAAAGCGCAGCTCTGTTATATCAGCAACCCAGAAGTTACAAAACGTTACATGGCTGAATATGATGCACTCCAATCGCGGGAAGATCGTCATGAGTGGATCAAACGGAAGAGAAAAGAGTGTCGCGCCATCCAGAGGGTGAGACTGATCATTTTGGTCTTCATACTGATTCCTCAGGTAGCACTACAGCATAAGAAACAATGTACAAAATGGCAGACAAGGAGGTGGCAAGATCGTGCCGATGAACTCGATGCTCTAAGAAAAGAGAGGAAGGCAGCGTGAGTCATGAACCACTTTTCACTGCACTATTTGACTTAGAGCGCATTGCCCCCAGGATTCTCGATCGACTTGGAGAAATCGGCTGGCGCCATGAAGCCGAAACTATTATGGAAGGTCCATACGATTCTTTCAGCAGACATAAATTGGTGAAGCAGCCAAAGAAACTTACTGATCAAGGTATCGAGGATCTCATCAAACTCATATCGCACACTCATGTGTTTCTACTCTAGGCTGGCGTTCCATCAAGAATCCCCTAGTAACTTTTCTCTCGGAGCAACAAGCCGAGCGGAACCATTGGGAACAAGATATGGCCTCTATGTGTCGCTCTCTTAATATTGAGGGCCTGTATCATGACATTCTCTCCAAAGCTGATGTCCGAGAACCTTTTCCACCCATCGGTGACGTTCATCGCCATCAGGTTTTCCAAGATCTGATAGATATGCCTGCAAGTGAAGATCTGACAGAGGACTTTCTCCGTTCAAAACTCCTTGAGCATTTGCCCGAACTTGCAAAGGAATGGCAGGAAACATCTGACCAGAAACTCTTGGAAATCATGCAAGAACACCGGCCTTCATCTATAGTCAGCGATTTACATCTTGCAACAACACTCTTCATATGCGCGCGATGTCGTCGGAGCCTTCTGTACTATCCACAACTCTTTCAGCACACTTGCTACATGAATCCGAAACCTTATTCCTCTGGCCGTTACACTCCTATCGATTCTGAAAATCCTTGGTCATCTTCCACAATTGTGTTCAGCAACACCTTTTCGGATCATGCTAGGGGACTTGTCGAAGCATGTTCCCTTGATCCTAACACAGCGACATTTCAAGACATATATAATGCTAACCCGCTGTTCGAATGTACTACTTGCTCGAATTCGGATTTGGAAGGCAGTCGGTGTTTCATGCGTTGGCCACTCCCGGTAGGCAAAGCGGAATCTATCAGAGGCTCCTGCACCTACTAAAAATCCATTATTATAGCTTCTCCATGGACGATTAGAAGAAGAACATGCTATTGTTGTCCCCATCTTGACCGATGAGGAACAGACGAAACTTGTTGCCTGTGAACCGAATATCAGTAGCAGCTCCACTAGTACTACGCCTATATGTTGTGCTCACTGCCACGAACCATCCGGTGTTGATGGTCTTATTGACCACCTGAAAACCGAGTGTGTGGTGTTTGTTTTTCCTCGCTATTCGACGTACATTGATGATGTTGCAGGCATAACAATGTGGTTGATTTCCCAGAGTCTGACGAACCTTCGATGAAACTTCACGCATTTCGGACGCATTGGTATTGGAACCCCCGCATGGCGCTAAGTAGTATGGGCCAGCCCTTCCGATACAACTCAGCAGAGTCAAGTTCTCAACCTTCCACTGTTGGCGTACTTTGAGTCGGACCAGAAGTACTTTTATCAGGCATCACTAATGGAACCGTATCTTACAGCTGCTAATCCTACCTCCATGTACATACATAGTCTTTCGAAGAGGTGTTCGTTATATTTTTTTTCGGAAAAGTTTTGAGCTTGGCCGTTCCACATCACTTGCTTACCTCATCACGGATGGAATTGTACTTTAGGATCATTCGGGTTTGAAGCGGAAACGTTGACGGTCTACCGCTTGCTATTATTCGCGCTCTAGTCTTGTCCAGGTCTCGTCTTTCAAGTCGCGTTGATTTTGGCTATATCAAAGCAAGATGAACACTGAACTTGAATACCTCAAGTCACTCGTTGCACAGCTCAATGACAAAATCAAAGCTTTAGAGCAAAAGGCTTCGTCCTCCAAGCCTTCGCCAGCCGTGCAGCTGCGGACAATCCTCATGGGTCCACCTGGCGCTGGTACGCTACCAATTTATATATACGGAAGGACTCCGGACTAACCTCAGGATACGCAGGTAAAGGAACGCAGGCTCCACTCATCCGCGACAAGTTCTGCGTATGTCATCTTGCTACTGGAGATATGTTGCGCGAGCAGGTGGCACAAAAGACTGCGCTCGGCGTGCAGGCCAAAAAGATCATGGACGAAGGAGGTCTGGTGAGTCTCGTGTGTTGGTTCATTTACAACGTCCCGCTAACAGCCAAGAGTCAGGTTCCAGACGAAGTCATGGTCGGAATGATCAAAGGTGAACTTGAGAACAACAAGGCGTGCAAGAACGGGTGAGTAACGAATGGTCTAACATGTTTCTCATTGTCTGAACGAATTCGAATCGCAGCTTCGTCCTTGACGGCTTCCCTCGTACTGTTCCTCAAGCCCAAAAATTGGACGGCATGCTCGAATCTCGGGGTGAAAAGCTCGACTCGGTCGTCCAGCTCTTGATTGACGACAGTCTACTCATCTCACGAATTACGGGAAGACTAATTCACCCAGCCAGCGGACGGACGTATCACCGCGAATTCAAGTTAGTGACAAACGTCAAATAGACTGACTGACTGTCCCTACTGACCCGGGTCCTCTTTTTTGACAGCCCTCCCAAGAAGCCAATGGTGGACGACGTTACCGGAGAGCCTCTCATACAACGTTCCGACGATAATGTCGAGACTTTGCAGAAAAGGTTGAAAACTTATCATTCACAGGTGAGTTATCATTCCGCTGTGTCAAACGTCCTTGTTCCCTTGTTCCCATACTCTCGTTCTTCTCCCCTTGTTCATGCATTTACCCTTATTCATGTGCTTCCCCTCCAAACGTTTGGTCATCCCTCGGTGTTCCATCCCAAACTCACCATATCTCACACAGACGGGTCCTGTTGCCGAATATTACAAAACCAAAGGCCTTTGGCATGGTATTGACGCAGCCCAAAGCCCGAGCGTGGTCTGGGATAATCTTCGGGGCATATTCCGCGGTAGTTCGGCGTAGGTTGGTCGAATGTAGGGTTCGTCGGGGTTCGACAGTTAACGGCGAAAGTGTATGTACTAGAATTACTTTATTAACACTTTCAGTAGAGGGCTGTTTACTGTTGTTCAATGAGCTCTATATTTTTCTATACTTCTAGCATGGACTGACTGCATATGCCATAGAGGGATAATTCTAGAACACAGAAAGAAAAAGACACATCTCCATATTCATAGAGGTCTAACCAGGACTCGAACCTGGGTTATGGGAATATGCAACAGTATCAAAATCCCATGTGCTAACCTCTACACTATTAGACCATATAAAACTTTAGGACAGAAAAAATATAATAATGCTTAGCGGTCGAGGACAGATATAGACTCCAAGAAAAAAAATTATACAACCCTAGAAGACTCAAATCCTCTCTCCTGTGGGCCAAGCATACATGTTTACCACTAGCAGGGAAGGAATTGCGCATAGTTCTGTGCAGGTATGCATTGATGTGCTGTATCATGATCATATAGTCTGCATATGGTGTGGACCTTCTAGTATTATATCCACCATTCGCGAAGGGTCCATGTACATATCAGCATACATAGCTCGGTGGACGCTCATTTGCCGACGTTTGCTCCTCCAATCTCCCCAGGCGTTCCAATACCTCAGCCATTCGGCCCCGCAAAGATATCATAGCTTCATGGTTAACATTTTCAGCTGGTAGATTCAAAGAGGCTTGCTGGAGCGAGCGGAATTCCTCTCGTGTAGCTTCAGCCTGTTGTTTCAGTCTCGCTCGACGGGGACGATTATTGAAGTGCTTTTTGCTGGATGTCTACATGAATAGGAATAAGTGCGATTCCACGAGAAAGAGGACTACAGGATAATACTGTACTTCTGCGGGTGATGATTGAGTGCTTGTTTGGGATTTACGTGGAGTACCGGTTCGTGATGAAAGGGAAGGGAGAGCTTCGGTTCGTGTCGGGGCGGTAAGAGTGTATGGGAGAGGGCTTTCATGATAAAGACCAAAATGAACAGTGAATTAGTAGTCGCCCGGGACTCCTCCATATATACTCGGTACTCACTTCGACCTATCGCCATTCTCAACGTCTAAGAGGTGTGAACGTCGTTGCCGCCGAAGCAGCCAGAACAGCAAAAATCCGAATATACCAGCAATCACAACACCCCCAATCGCACCACCAATAATCACCCCAAGTGGTGATCTGCGTGAGTTTGATGTAGATGTGGAGATAGATGTAGAAATAGCACTCGTTGGTACAATGGTAGGTTTCGAACTCCTCGGCGGTGTTACCGATGAAGTTGTGAGGACGGGCGTCGTTGTCGCTTCAGCGGGGGCACTTGTTATGGCTGCGTCGACCTCCAACACGATCGGTGTAGGTGCACCAGTACTCGTGTTCGTCGCGTCAAAGCATATGCCTGTATCTGAGCCTGTGAAACTACATTGAATGGTAGAAGTCGTCCCAAAACTCTCAATCCATCCCGAAGCGGATGCGACAATGGTTCGTGAGACTGTTGTCACGTCGCATAAAATCAATCGAATGATTGCGGAAGTCTAGTCACTATCAGTAACTCACCAGAGAAAACCTCAGTCGTGAATACAAGAGAACCGGCATTGGTAGCTACTGTTGTGACGGGATCGAAAACTTCGTAGAGGTATGTAGTCGCGGGACCGTCGCCTGGGGTTCCAATCGGTCGTAATGGAGCTGTAAACCCTCCAGCTGCCAATCGATGGGCTCCGAACTGCCAGAGTGTAACACTTGTGCTTTGAGAAAAAGTCCTTCCTAATGAACAGCAAACGTACGAGCTTCAGCCCTTGAAACGACGGCGTCGTCCGAGAATCCTTACTCACCAAAGAATGATGCTAGCAGAAAAGTGCGAGGAATCAAAGGAAACATGAGGAAAAGGGAACAAGACCTCAAGTCTTGAAGTAAAGAAGAAACGAAGCCAGGGTGAACTCGAGAACGAAAAGGAAGCCAAGAGAATGTAAAATACTATCTCATCTCTCTGCGAATACCACCTTGAGAAAGTATCTCGAGCTGAGGCCATTGTGTCATAAGGATCGTCCATTTACCCGTTGCTCTCGATACCGTTGAGTACAGAGTCCGAGACGACCAAGGACAAGGAACTGGAGGTCTACCAGATCCTTATTACAAGATATTACCCCATATTGAAGAGGATCCGAGGAAGATTTACCTTTCCGTTGAGTGACCGTACAAAAAACATATACTTCCTCTGCACATGGCCCCTGATCGTTGCTAGAGCACTGCTGGAGATCTTGTAGCGTATCAGGGGAAATCATGTGTGATTTCTTACTGTGGTAGCGGAAGGCGTTGCCGCCGCATACACTCATTGAGAACGAAGGCATACCCATGTGTTGATGAGGACGGCAGCTGCGAGTCGTACCAGCCAAGATATCACAAGGTGGAACCCGGAGTGTAACAATCTCTCGAAAGCAAAAGCAAAATCGAATAAGTTACTTCTTCCGTACACAAGTTTGGTGTAAGTACTAGAGCAGAGAGTCTCGTAAACGGGTGCGAACAATATCGTCACACAGATGAGGATTACGCACACAGAACCTATCGACTCATTACTGATACTCACTCCTTCTTACTCTTCTTCTCTTCCTTTGCCTCACCAGCAATATAGATGACACAAAACAACAGGAAACCAACGCTCGTGCTGATAGCACCGGCGTAGTACGGCCACGCCGCACTCAAGAACCTCGGGTACCCATCGTGTCGTGGGGGGACAACAGGGACGCTGAGTGTATGGTGCAGATGAGTGAATCCCTTGCGTTTGTGGGAGATCGCGAATTTGAAAACACCGTGGCGATCTGGAGCGCGGAAGGTTGTTGAGTAGGTTCCTAGTTTGGGAGAGGGTAACACGTTAAGAAGTCGAATGAACTTTATAACAGACGATCATACGAAACTCACCTGGTTTCCCGCTCACAGGAGGAAGAGAGGTTCGAATGTGAGGATCAAGCATTGTGAATTCGAGCTGTAGATCCTTCAGACCCGAATAGGGTTCCCATTTTTTGTTAGAGGATTGAAGGAAGATATCCGGATAGTGTAAACCTGTTGCGTTGAATAACCCATAAGCACTGCCCGACGAAGAATAAAGTAGAAAGACGAACAATCTCATCATTGGTCGTATACATCTCCACTGGCCCTGTCTGGTTGACTTTGTGATGAGTAACCTCATCGATTCTCAACACTCCCCTTTCCTGGAACGCCCAACCGGCAATTTCCAAAGCAGCCTGTTCATTCCCCGAAGGATTTTCCACGACCTTCATTCCCCTCTCCTGTATAACCTTTTCGACAACCTTCTTGTTCGCAAACTCGTCTGTGAAGAGCGACGCTCCGCCTACCCAGACCGCACGCGCTTGTTGGTCTTCGCCCGGTCCAGCATCAGCTCCATGCCCGGTCCCTCCACCGATCAAGGTTTGGAATCCGGCGACGACAGCGAGTGAAGAACCAGCCCAGAGGCCCTCTCCACCCTTTTCAGAAGCATCGGCGAGTGCGTCAGAAACTAACCCGCTCCCGTCACTCAGGTCAGCGGCGAAGCTTTCAGCCGGGGCACGTAATATAGGGAACACAAGAGGGTTGGAATTCAAAGCGAAAGGTGTACCAGAGAACCAGACCTTGCCGTTGACTTGAGAGGACAGCACGGAGAATGTGTCGTTGGGGATGGATTGGCTGGTTACGTCGATAGGGATGATGCTGGGTGGATCAGAGCGTTCGGGGAAGAAGCTGACGAGTGGTGTTGCTGGAGGTGGAAGGAGCAAGGAGAATTCTGGAGCGAGGGAGGTTAAGAGGTTTTGTTTGAGGCCGAGAGTCAGAACAAGGTTCGTTCCGAGTGATAAAAGTTGCACGAGTGACTGCGGGTTGATATCTTTCGCGAAGTCTGCAGCCATAACAGATTAGCTTTGAGGAGGAGACAAGCATGGTTGAAAGACGAACTCTTGGTATCAGACGCAAGCAGCATTACATGGGAAAAGTTCGGGACGCCATCCTCTATAACTAGTGGTTGTTCCTCCTTTGGTGCACGAAGCGTCACCGTGTATCCTTTCTCTGCAGACAATGCGATGAGTCTGAGTTCGTAGAATATCCTGAAACTCCTCACTTTCTAATCCAGCAAGAAATATACTGTATTCTGCTTTCTTTGCGGGTTCGAGGATGACCAGCACCGAATCACCAGTGCTCGATGCGGACTTGCCTGCGTTACTAGACTGAACGAATAACACCAAAGTTAGGAAAAGGAATGTGAGCAGCGGCCATGAGAGAGGATAGTTAGGATGATAACGCGTCCTCATTTTGGTCGAGTGATAAAAGTAGGAAGAGATACGTGTAAGGTGATTTATTCATTCGCGTTGAACGTGGCGATGTTTGTCACTGTTATGCATATGACTCTTCCTCTCTGAGTCGGATTTCTCGAAGTTCGTTCAACGTTCAGTACTTCAGTTTTCAAGGATGATCGAGCAGTTGAGAGCAAGAAATATACACATGTGTATAGATGTTATTAGCAACTTGAATACTACTACTGTTTTCCACATAATTACCAGTTAACCTTCAGCATCGAATAGATAGTTGATGTAAGTTACACAAAATCATTCCGACTTTGCCTTTCCTTCTTTCACTGCTCTCTCCTGCATCTTGACTTCTAGTAATGGATCTAGCGATGCGTCAGGGTGACGGTATGAGTTTCCTGCTCGGTCGGCCCAGGTGAAGTACTGTCCGTAGTTGACAGTGAAGTAGATGTGGTGTAATGTATGATGAGCCGGACCATTAATGACATTTTCGAGTGGGTGTCCTGTTATCATATCCGAATCATGAATCTGGGAGAAGGAGTAACTCAGTTGTTAATTCCGAGGAATATCCAAAACATCACTTACAAAGATGGCCCAGAAATTGACCGCGACGAACATGGCAAGGAATTGGAGCCGATGCATAGGGAAGAGGACAATATAAAGGTGATACGGAACCGACTGTAGATACCCATCCACAGGGTGGAATGCGTGTGAAGCAAACGGAGTAGGAACTATCAAATTAGAGGTTAGGTTTGATGAATGTATTCAAAAAGCATGTCATACGACTTACTGATCCACTTGTGATGTGGCTTGTGCAAAGGTTTGTACACCAGCGGGTGGTGCAGCCAGCGATGTATCCAATAGATGCAGTAATCCGTGAAGAGCAAGAACCAGATCGAGCTGAAGGCCATGAAAACCCAGCCTCCCCACCCTCCGAAGTTATTGAACACACGCAGATTTATATCGTCCACGTTTGTATAAAGCTTCGACCAACCACGAACC